CAAAAAAAACCGAAAACAAAAGTCTTATCTAGTAAATATTACTATTACAAACTGACAACTAAGAAGTTTTCAATATATCTTGCTTTCTTGGGATTTTGTGACAGGGAGATACACGAATTAAAACATGAACATGCCTTGTTGGGAGCCACCACTGAACCCACTACAATGACTAACATCTGTGGGTGGCAGAGGACATATCACTTGTGCGTGTTTCACAGCTCGAAGGCGATGCTTCTAACAGTTACCGCTTGACTGTGGCCTTTCCTCTGAGGTGGCCTTTGGCGCCCTCTAGTGGAACTTGTAACACACAGTCCTAGTTTTTAGAGGGAACGATTCCGCAGGTTTAAAATGATTAGCTATTAAACCACCACCAGCAAAGGAACTTGGAGTTCTCTATTATTACCCAGTACAACTTACTGTCCACCCTCGAGAGAAACGATGCTGGTCAGAGTGAAAGGGGACCGACCGCCTGCCTGTGGATTCCGATTCTCCTCTCGGCTGCCTGCCCCTGTATAGGAACAAAGCCAGTCCAGGGAGGCCACCTGGGGCAGGAAAGTAGAATAAAGGTAGTCATGGATCTCACTGCCACAAAATCCCAGGGAAGCAAGAGATATTTAAAACGTCTTAGTTGTCAGTTTTTGTTTTTTTATAAACATTTTTATTGACTTCAGAGAGGGAGAGAGAGAGAAACATCAATGATGAGAATCATTGATTGACTGCCTCCTGCATACCCCCCACTGGGGATCCAGCCCACAACCCAGGCATGTGCCCTGACCAGGAATTGAACTGTGACCTCAACTGTTCACTGGTCGACACTCAACCACTGAGCCAGGCCAGCAGGGCAGTTGTCAGTTTTTAATAGTAATATTTACTAAGTAAGACTTTTGGAAAAAACAATGAATTCTGGAAAAAAACAACGATTTTCATCATTATGCTTCCATGACAGCATCAGTCTGCTGGATGAAGAAAGATGTGTGTGGAAAGGCCCGTTTCCCAGATGCGGAGCCAGCAGCCCCTCCCGGTCCATTTGCCGACCAGTGAACCTTGACCCCTGTCAGAGTCCCCCTCTTTCCTGGCACAGGGGCTACCACATAATAAGCCTCCGGGCAGTGCTGAGTGGAACAGTCACTCAGAGATTGTCTTGGTTTCTTTTCAGTGGTGGCTCATGTGCTAACGTTCCCTGATTTTCAAATTGCAGTCACTTCAAGGGGCCTGTCGGGGGTGGGAATTGTCATTCCTAGGCCCTCGGTAGGCCTTAAAAGCAACTGCCCAGAGCACTGACTTGCCTCCAACTCCCCCGCCCCCACACACCTCCCAGCTGTTTTCCCACAGGGATTTCTCCTGTGTGGGAAGAGGGTGGGGAAGGGCTGACAGGAGAAATCCTACCTTATGTGGGAAATTACACAATAATAAACGGTTCCAGTACATCTGTGGTTAAGTAGGTTTTTCTCAAGAGCTGACTCTGGGTCTTAATTGTCTTTTATAAATTTCTAAGTCCATCCACGAATGCAAACTTTAAAAGAATTGATTTGTGTGTCAGGCATCCTGCCAAGCTCTGGGCACACACTGGTGAATAACACAGACATGATGTCCGTCCGTCCTCAAAGGATTTACCAACAGGGAGACCAACACGAAGCAAATATTGTGAGTAATCAAGGACAAGAAGTGCTGTCAAGGAAAAATACAGTGGGAGCATAGCAGGTGGACCTGATCTAATGAGGGGCTAGGCAAGTCCAAGGGGGACTGGAGGGGACAGTGGGCCTGGCTAAAGGGGACGGAAGGCAGCTTGCAGAACCGATGCCCAGATGTCTCCATGAGATCTGTTCACCTTTTCTGTTACTTCAGCTATTTCAGGAAAACAGATGTGGGACGGGAGGTCTAGGGTCAAATTTGTAGACAATTTGGGTTGCTAGCGTTTGGAGTTCAATTAGAAGCTGTTGAACAGTGAAATCAGGAAACGGTCCTGGAGGCCCTTGCTAAAAGCACTCCTCCTTGCGGCTGGAGCTGATGCTGGTCCACGTCACTCCCTCGTGTACCCACAATTAATAGCAGGAGTTATGTTCAGAGAGAAGTTATCTAGAAGCAAATCAAAGACGGAGGATTTCCATAAGGAACGGACTATTTATTCACTCCCAAGGTTGCTGATGCGGCAAATAGTATGCCAGAAAAGATAACAGAGATCTGCAGACCGGAAAAATTCAAGTAAATGCTTGACTAGTGACAAAAGGGACAAGACCAGCTAGCTGATTCCTTCTTCCCCTCCTCCCTTGTACAACCAGGATTAGTTTCTGCCCATTTCAGAAGATTTCATCCCGAGCAAACAAATCAATCTCTCAAATTTCCCTAAGAAAAAAATTATAGGCAAGGGCGTGGGGAAGAGCGGGGGAAACCGAGAGGTGCCAATTTTGAAACTCACAGCTGTGCTTTCACATCTTGATATAACTGTTTCCAAGAATGGCAGTTTCTGTTGTTCACCTTTAAATCTTGAATCATGCAAAACTCAGTGACTCAGTCTTTATTTTCAAACTTAGAATCCTTGTTTCGGACACTTGAAACTCTTCTGTAATACTTACAAGACTTAGGAGAAATTCCGACAGGCTAGTCAATAGAGTTCTATGCGAGGTAGAGAGAAGGTAAAAGGAAACTGGATTGAGCAACAACTGAACATGTTTATATGAATTTCTAAGTCAATTACCTGGCCACATTCTACTCAACTTACATGAGAGAAAATTATGTGGGATTTAATACACAATTTGGCATTAACACTAAGGTCATGTTTAAAAGAAGTCAATCCAGATGAAAAATATTTGGCCAATCGGAATGTCAGAGTTTTGCTCAAAATGTGATACTAACAAAAAATTACAAGGTTAGTAGAATCTTTGGGACCCAATCATGAGCTGTTTAAGCTGTTGGCTTCCACAGTCGTGGCAGAAATGACACGGGAAGAAATGTACAAGACCCATCCCCGCTGCACTTCCTTTTGAACTGGGAGATTCTAAAGCTTGTTTTATTTTTACTTGACTATTCAAGTACTTGACAAATATCCAGAAAGCAAGAAAAATCTTCCTTCTCTTTTTTCCTCCTAGTTTCTTCTACAGAAATTACTTCTAATTTTTTACTTGCATATATCTATGTATTTGCTGTAACATAGTATAAGCAAATTTCAAGGCAAGTATAACCAAAGTTAGCATTATAAAAAGTTAGGCTGTTTCTCATCAAGTCACATCCAATGAAGACAGAAGACTCATTTTCACGACTTGTCAGAAAGGGGCTCAGTGGTAAATAGCATCACACCCAACTGTGGGTTGAATGAGCCAACTGCTCATGTTAGGGCTCTGACTTCCCCAAAGCTTTTATTTTCGCCAAGGTCAGTCAAGGACATCTGGGGTGGCTGGCTGTGCTCCCAGGAGTGAAATCTGAGATCTAATTTCTCACTCGCCGCAGTCTGCATCATCAGACTTCTTAGCCAACGATCGGATGCTTCGAAGTGGGAACATTTTAGCTCAATTTCCCTTTTGAGTTGGCGTCTAGGAAGTGAGGGTCAGATTTGTCAGCCTACTTCTGCTGTGCATTTTGTGTACAAAGCTCACTCCTGCCTTAATGCTTTTTTTCGTTTCCCCTTAGATCATATGGCTTACTCTACATAAATTTTATCTTTGTATGATATGCATCACTGTAAACCCTCTTAAAACTTTCTGGGACAAGGTCATGCATAAAGAAACTCAAGATACATTTTCCTGTCATCAGGATTACAGTGGATCATGCTTACTATGTATCATAGGCTGAAAAAAAGGGTAACATTTCCTAGCAAATTCATGGTCTCCCCTGAGTAAGGCTCAACTTATAGAAACCTGAATTTCAGGAGTTGAAAGGAAAGATGGATTCAAACTTCCCCAAGTAAATGTTTCCAGAGGCTTCTGAAATTTCAAAAAGGTTCGTTAAAAATGGAGCCACTGGTGTTTAAAGCACAGGCTGACGGGGAAGGTGCTTGGTCGTGGCACAATCCAGCACACAGGATAACCAGGTGGGATCTTTATTTCACAAGGTTCAAGGTACAGTACAAAACGGATCTGTACATCTCTCTATTAACAGGATTTGTTTACACAATTATATTACACTTCACCAGCCTGTATACTGTATTTAATTAAATACAAAATAAATTTACAGAAAGAGTCTGCCATGGTGTTCCTTCTGGTGCCAGCTTACCGTCTTTCAAAGCTTCTCAATATCGAAAGTGGTTGCACCTCGATCATTTCAACACTGATTTCTTTTTATAAATCAGAGAATAGCGTCAGCTTGCGTGTCATTCCAAATAGAAAAGACAGCACATGTGAGATGACTCGTTGCACATAACCAAGACGTCCTTTTCGTGCACACAAAATCAGATCTTGTGCAAATAGTCACTTTAAAACACAAATCTTTTTTTATGTGGGCTATTCTGTATTTTCTTGAAATACCAAGTGGAAGGAGAAATTTAGGTACTTCTCAATGACTGCTCTGCATTAAAAATCAGGGAGTGCCTCAGACAATGTGGTATTCAGAAATTTTGTATTTTCATTTAAATTTGTGAGCAATGACTGATAAAAATATCTTCATGAAAATATAAGTTTCTTTTGCTTTATTTCTTGAACACCTCTAGTCCTAATATTGTGCAACATGTATTACATTTACTTTGAAAACAAATATGAGATGTCATTGGGACAAATGTACCATGCTGCCCTTCCTGGCAGATAAAGAGTCTGTTTTACCTGAAGCATTTTATTGAAATGTGCATGTGAAATGCCAGTCCAAACCTCTGGACAGGAAGTGTTCTGTAGATGTAGCCAGACAATAATATATATGCCACACACATCAAGAATTGTGGTCTTCATTTATAGGTTTGCATGTATACCTCCAACACACTGGTTTGAAGAGCAAACATGAAGAGCAAAGGGAAAAAAAAGCCAAATATTAAAAAAAAATCCTATGTGAAATACTTAAGTTTTCTGGAGGCAACAGTAGCCCTTAAATGAAATAAAGCATCAGATCACCACCAGATCACAAAAGCTTCTACAACTTTCCAATGGCACAAAGATAAGACAGCTCAGCAGTAAAGCTCTCGCAAATTCATCTTATGTGCACAAGGGTAACACATCATCAAGAGTATGAAGATTAATACAAGTTAATCTCATTTAAGTGTTAAATAATGAACTTTGAAAAAGGAGTTTTGAATTATTTTTCTGTGTCTCTGAATAGTAACCAAAAAAAAAAAAAAAAAAAAAAAAAAATAAGATAAGCCTCACTCAGAAAACAGACAGAAAAACTCCAAACACAAAATGAAAAGAAAAAGAAACCCAAACACCAATGCGACCTTTGCAACATAAAATGGAAGCAAACGGACAATGTGGAGACTCTGAAACAGTTGAGTGAGCAACCACCAAATGCACGAGCAAGATGCCCTAAGTAGAGACAGACCAGAAAACGGGACGGGAGTGATGGGCTACTGCGGAGAAATGAAGCCACACTCTACCTGCTAACTCTAAATGCTACCATTAAAACTCCTGAGTCCTGGAGTCAGTTTAATGTCACTGACATTAACTAGCTTTAGTTACTGTCATTTTATTCAAATGGATGCCATTTGATTAGGTTAAGTATTGAGCATTATTTTAGGAGAAACACCAGTTCCTTGAGAAGGGAGCAGAGTACTTTGAGACAGTCAGAAGGACTGACATCACCAAGCCATAGGAACTAAGTTATTTTAAGTATACCGTTTGAATTTCCAGGAGCAAAAGACCCATGGCAAAACAGGAAGTGGAAAAGGCCAAGAAAGGGGTATTTGGAGTATCTATAATAATAAAAGTATAATATGCTAATCAGACTGGACACGGATGTAGCCAGGGCTGCAAGGGAAACCCAGGTCCCCGGTCCCAGATGCCAGAGGGTAGCCGGTGCCGCCAGCTGGGGCAAGGAAGGCCTGCTCTTACACGAATTCCGTGCATTGGGCCTCTAGTTAATAATAAAAAGGACACAGCGAGCGGCAAACTGGTAGGAAGCCTGTTACTGCATGAAGAACAGACTGACCTTCCCCATTCAGCTTTGGGAGTGCACACTGTTATAGGACATGTTTTTCCAAAGTATTGGAGGGAAGTGGAGAGTGATATAAAATGCTGCTAAAGGAGAAAGTAGATGGGTGGTAGAGGGGAAAAAGTGGAAGTTAAACTTTAAATCAGTTAAAACAGTTCCTTTGAAATGAAGCGTGGCTGATAGGGATTCTGAAGGGTGGGGGCAGAGGCAGTAAAGACATCCCCATATCCTATCCACTGTTCCCGAATCGCCAAGTGTAAGAGATCAAACAAGTCGTAATATTCACAAGAGCTACTCAAAGTGGCATTATACTTTTGAGAGTAACATTTCCTGCCTTCCGGATATACTTTTAGACACAGGGCTCTCACTGTGATCACCTCTTCAGATTTGAAGGCGATTACCTCGGAGGAGAGTTTGCTTGCCAGGTGTCTCATAAAATCTACTCTAAGCAAAATAGCATACATCATCACATTTAAAGCCCTCATGTTCATTACTGACTAATTAAATCTGGTTCTAAATGCAACCCCAACTTCAGGAACCAGTCCTACAACTCTACAATAACAAACTCTTCAAGTTTTCTGGCAGGTGAGGGGTTATGGAAAGAGAGTATACTATGAAGGTTAAGAAAACAGACTGAGGTCAGTAGGCCCAGAAAGCCTGCTCAGGTGCAAACGTAGTCTCAGACAATGGAAAGAAATACAAACTGTTTAATTTTTTCATTTGCAAGATATGTGAAGTTTGCAAGTTTTCTTCACTGTTGTTTCCTATACAATTTAATCAGACAATTCTCGAGTGGAATAGCCTTATTTTCCTAGTGTTCACAGTGGGAGGGTGATGAATATGACAGCTGAGAAAGTGGCTGATTTTCTACTGTCACATAAAACGGCAGAAGTGAAAATCCACCTGAACAGTGTGAACAGGCTTTGGCTGTCCTCGACCACTGAGTTTCATGCACCCTAGATCCTGTCTCAGCCTTAGTATTATCATGGTAGTCAACACATGCCGTACCTTTGCAGTATTTCATACTTAAGAGAATTCAGGAGGGTGACCTGTTCCTTTGCAATAAGAAATGCAAACTAAATGAGCCCTGGGAACTATGGGGTCAACTTTTGGGGAAGGATGTCTATGGTCTCAGCGCCCCATGCAGGGTTCTACAATATTGCTTTCTAATTTCTCCCACTTAGTCCATCCTCTGGCTTCCAGATCAAGGCTCTGCGTACTTAAAACAAGCAAATTGCATTAAGTAGGTGGGGCAAACGCATGTGTTAGCTCAAGGAATCAGTTCACAATGTTTTATAGATATTCCATTCCAAAGAAATGAAATTCACACACAACGCTAACAAGGCCTTTCAGTCTCTGAAGGAGAGAAGTGTGGTATAAAATATGACAATCACCAGCAGTCAGAAACCTCCTTTCCTTCCCTTTTAAAGTAACAAATGTGCTGAATACGTGCAGTTGCATGTGGATTGGTAGAAGTTTCTGCTATGGCCATTCTGAAACACTTTGAAGCCTTTTTTTTTTTTTTTTTTTTTTACATTAAAGGCAAGTTCTATTTCCAGACTTTCAAATATATTAAGGTTAAACTTGCGAGTAACTGGGTTTTCCTTTTCACACATCAGTTTTTAGTGTCGACGCACAAGACCTTGAAGATGGTTGATCGGAGAACTTATGCACATTGAGAGAATGACCAAAAGGACCCAAGAGAGCTGGATACAGTAGACATTACTTTGAGGGTCTCACGTATGTTTCCAGAACAAACCAAAAAAAGGAAAGCCACTGAGAGTTGTTATTCCAAACGGCACTGAAATTCAACTCAGTTTAGGTAGGAGTTACTTATCCCTGAAAATAAAGGCATCAGATTCTAAGCAGCTGCAGGAATTCAATGCTTCCTTGTGCCTCTTCCAGGAGGTGGCCACGGAGCCAGAGTCCCAGATCAAACGCAGGTGTTCTCTGCAAACGATTCCCTCAGTTGTCATTGATCAAGGCTGGGCACAGCCGTTACTGTGGCGGCTGCTGCTCGGGTGGCGCCTCCTGCTGTGGTGCTGCTGGCCGTGGCCCGGGGTGCCTGGGGCCGGGCATGTCTTGGTGCTGCCTCTGCCTGTAAGCTATGACTGTTCCCAGCAGCAACGCGATGATAGTCATGAGGTAAAGGTCCCACTCAGGTCCCAAAAGCTGGTCCATATCAACTTGGGTAAATACATCTCGAATCTTAATGGGAATAGAAAAATCGTTATGCTCACTAACATGTCAGAGAAGAAATCAGGAAAAGTATATCACCAATTAGAGATAAATACAGAACTTATTAAAATAATTGGTTTTGGGGACATTTTACAATGTTTTTATTAAAAAAAGGTTTTAAAAGCCTTGAACTGAAACTCAAAAAATAATGTGTCTCAGGAACAGCTATTATTTCATAACAGTTGAGTATGTGAAGTGCCTGGCAGGGTTTCCTTCCATCAGCAACCGAATGCACTTATTCCCAACCATTTCCCCCAGGAAATGTCTGAGATGAGCACTGGGGATGAGGCAGGGTCAGGGAAAATTGTCAGTCTCAGTGCACCTGGAGCCCATTTGCAGTCAGGACACAGCAGCTAAGAAGCTCTGCTCTAGTGACACAGGGCTATGTTATCCCTTCTCTCAGGTAACTGAAGATGGCGGAGTGCAAATGTTTCACAGAGGAATGAATAATGCTTTCTGGTTAGGATTTAACTAAATATTTAACACCTGAATTTGAACTTAAAAGTCATGGTTTTAGTCTATGATATATATAGAATATATATCATAGAATATACATAGATATATATATTTTTTTTAGAGGGAGAAAGAGGAAGGGAGAGGGACAGAGAGATAGGAACATTGATGAGAGAAAGAAACAGCATCAATCAGCTGCCTCCTGCATGCCCCCTACTGGGGATCAAGCCCGCAACCCGGGCGGGCATGTGCTCTGACTGGAATTGAACCATGGCCTCCTTGTTCCTGGGTCAATGCTCGACCACTGAACCACATTGGATGGGCTCTTCTTGTCTTTTTTTCTTTGTCAATTACAGTTAATTGACCTAGTGTCACTTAAGTGATTCCTCTTATTTTCTGACTGCCATTTATTCACAAAGAAAGTAGACAAGTATAATCCCTTGTGTTTAAATAACATTACATTTAAAAGATCCCCATCTATATATATAAAAGGCTAGTATGCAAAGTGTCCCCTCGGGAGTTTGACCGCTTGCTATGATGTGCGCTAACCACCAGGGGACGGCGCAGAACAAAGGAAGGCCCAGGCTCGCAGCTGGGGAAGAGGCCCTGGCCGGCAGCTAAAAGGCCCTGATAGACCTGATCACTGGTCAGGTCTAGTGACCCTACCCATGCACAAATTTCATGCACCGGGCCTCTGGTAATATATATTTGCAGGTACAGGCACTATATATTTTTGGAAAGATTACAAGAAACTATTAACTGTGTTTCCTGGGAAGGGAATGGAGATGGGAGATTTTGTGTTTATCTTACTATTCAACTTCCTTGCCATGAATACTTACTACTTTAAAAAAATGTATTTTTATTGATTTCAGAGAAGAAGGGAGAGGGAGAGAGAGATAGAAACATCAGTGGTGACAGAGAATCACTGATTGGCTGACTCCTGCATGCCCCCTCCTGGGGATTGTGCCTGCAACCCAGGCATGTACCCTGGCCAGAAATCAAACCATGACCTCCTGGTTCATAGGTTGACGCTCAATCACTAAGCCACACCAGCAGAGTATTACTTTTTTTTTTAAGGTAGAATATCTACATGGTAGGATTATAGGGCATTTTATTGTCTTTATATTTCTGTTTTAAAAAGAAAGAATATATTTTATTGCATAATCAAATCCTAGATTGTAATCAATAGTTTATTAGTCTTAAAAATTGTGAGAGACAGGGTCTGGAATAGTCCTGGCAGAGTAACAGCACACTACCACACTGTTAGCTTTTTAACTGAAGGACCGAAGATCCCATCAATTAGCAAGGGGTTCAGCCCTGGCCCAGGCTACCAAGCAATTATAAATTTGCCACTACAAATGCGTAAGACATCAGTAGGACAGAGCTCAACATCTCAGTCCTCTGGAGCCCTATACACAGGAGCCCTCAGTAGCACGGGCTAGGGCTGCATGAGGGGGAAGTCAAACTTCTCTTTATAGCTGCTGGAGCAGCATGGACTATGTTTATATCTTTGTAACACAGGAGGGTTCTATTCTGGAATCCACTGCTGAGATAAGGTATCCACCTGTTCTGAAAGATGTTAACCAAAGATTTCAACACCATCCTTTCCCGGAATGAATTAAAGTTAAATAGCCCTTGTTTCTGCATATATTTGAAGACTTTCAGAGTTCAATGCTGTACTAGTTGATCCATTTTGAGGAACTCTAGGTATTGGAAGCAAAATGCAAAACTGGAGAACCTAAGAGCAACCCATAAGTGTTGTTAACTAAAGTCAGTAGCTTGGAAGAGAATGGCGAACCCATCTCCTCTCTAGGTTCTGCCTTTAGCTTATTTAAAGAGTTCAAGGTACTTTCAGAGAACAAATTCTGGTGGTGGTTTTAACATGTTTCACTATCACAAGAATCTAAAGTGCAACAGCCTGGGCAGGTTCTCAGGTTCTACTTCTTCTTCCTCCTTTTCTAAATTCTCTTTTTCTTAGGGAGGTCTGAGTCACTTCTAGGCAGGCAGTCATCTGATTTAATGTTTAGTTAACTACTGTTTCAAATTGCCATGGGTCAGTCTGTTTTCCCCAAACCAGAAAACATCTGTATCAATGCAAAATGCTTTAGCACTGGGAACCACTTGTGATGCTACCTGAAAACTATTAACAGCTTTGTGGCCACATTCAACCCTCCCCTGATGAGGACAGCGGGTACTTCACCTGGGGGAAGAAGGGAAGACACAAGACACTCCCAGGCTACTCCTCCCTTCTCCCCCAACATTTAAAATACAAGTCTCTGGACTGAGGTTACATCATTTGTGTTTAACTGAAAGGCATGGACCACTTACATTTGCTTCCCGTATGTACTGCAAGAAATAGACGATGCCCAATTTGCAGAGCGCTAGGAAGACTGGTACTTGTGCATCTGGGCTGGCTTCGGCTGCCATGTCATAAAAACGCTTTGCAAGGTGAATATCCTATAAGATAGGTGATAAACCCAAATTCATTTCTTGCTAAATTAAGAATCATTGTTTTTTAGTTTATACATTAGGAAAATTTATTTTATCTTTCAAGTTTCATTTTAAAATTTCCCTTACCTAAAGAAAACCCAAGTTGTAATTGGATAAAAGTTCTTTAATTACCTAACAGCTTAATTTGGAAAATTTTAATTGAAAATTTTAAGACTTCATTCATGCTCCCCTCCCAACCTGACATCCACTTGCTGTGTAGACTTTTAGAGTTAAATGCTGCACCGTCTTACAGCTAGCTACACATAACACTGTTAATCTGGACACTTCCAAGGGTGACCTGTGAGTTGCAAGTTAATTTTTTCCTACTTCAGCCAGCTCCAGGTTTCAATGTGGAGCAGTGAACTTCAAACTGGAGTAGACAGTCAAGATTTCCCAAGGGACACTGTTAAGGCACATCCTGTGTCTCCCTGTTTTAGACATATTTCTGTGAAGGGCAAAGCAAGTCACTGGTAATTTTGGCACAGGTTGGAGTATTCAGATATATGTAGAATGGGATGGTGGGAGTTGTGAAATTTTCATTTACCAAACTTACTTCTTCTATACCCCGACTACTGTCAAAGAATATCATCCTCCTAGGAAAAAATTCCACGAGACATGGGAAAGAAAGGCTAAGCATTAAAGATGACTTTCCCCCATATATTTAAATATAAATAATTGCTTTCAGTTATTCCTATATGTACCTGGGGTGGGTCATTAGTTGAAAAGAAAGGCACCTTCAGCTAACTGTAATAGTATGGTCAGTATCTTTGATTTTTTAAAAATATATATAACTAACATTTTTTTGAACTGCCATATTTTTCAAGTTCATGGATAAAACTATGTGATAATACAGGCTATATGTGTTTGAGTAAATAGGGTAATTAAATTGAAGCTATCAAATATATCTTGAATTATTTATTTCAATTATAACCAACCCTGGTCTTAATACTTAATATTTTTCTAGTTATACTAGATGCTGATTAGTTTTTAGTAGCAGGAATGTCTCTTTCATTTAAAAAATAAGAACAAGGAAAAGGTCATTATGATGTCTTATAAAAACGAATGGATTTACTGTTATTTTTACACATAATTATTCTTAAAAGTTGAATCCTAGAGTTCCCTCTCATCACTCTGATGCCTTTTATCATATTCTTTTTCGTAAGAATTTACATAAGCTATACATCATATTACATTACAAATTAAATGATGAGATGAGAAAAGCACACTGATTAGGTTCTTGTTTTATAATCTACTATAGAAGTAGTATCAGAGTTATACGACTTTAGTCATCTTGATTCCTAGGTGTATTCTATAAAGGTCACAACTTATATGTGATTTTTATATTAGTCATCAAACATAACAATGACATACATTTCAAAGGGAACACTAGAC